AAAAGAACCAAAGACTTAAACTACTTCAGTCTGTGTGCATTGAATTTATTTAATACACGAGTTTCACAATTTGAGTTGAATTACTGAAATAAATTAACTTTTCCACGACATTCTAATTTATTGAGATGCACCTGTATATCTCCCAGCAGGGCCCCCCAGGCACGTTAGGGCTAGGGATGTAACGGTATGAAAATTTCTTATCACGATTATGGTGACCAAAATGATCACGGTTATCAGTATTATCACGGTATTGTTAAAATGTGCTGGAAATGTTCAAAAAGTACTGACACACAAATCAAGATAAACAGCAAAGATAACAAGCTTTTCAAAATGAAAACAAAAAGAAAAGTAAAACTAAACTTGCTGTCGGTGACAGTGCTTGCATGGTTTTTTTTTTTTCCCCACAAGAATACCAACATGTTCACCTTTGGTTTAAGAAGCGGTCTTTTACTTTACTTTAGCATGAAACCCATCTATTGTTTCCTCAATATTTGCGTAATTTTTGCTGCATGCAGCTTCGCGCTCCTGCTGACGTGGTGAGTATAAACCAGACTCTACACTCGAAACGCTGCACAGTTCAAACGAGTAGCGCGGTTTCGTTATGCTGTCAGTTTCGTTTGCCTTTTGATGTTTCTCATATGCAACAGAAATGCAGCGCTTATGAGTTAAACAATGCGGTGGTCGCGCCAGTGCGACCACACACAAAATTTAGTCGCACCGGCCGAAAAAATGATAGCAAAATGCGCCCATTTGGTCTCACACTGGAGCCCTGTGCAGTACAATATTTATTTATCCTCAGTTGTTCAAATCGCGGTAATTGAATACGGTTATAGTGATGATTAAAATATTAAACGGTAATACTATCCGTGGGGTATTTATCACGATTTATCGTCAAACCGGTAATCGTTACATCCCTAGTTAGGGCCCTAGATTATCACCTGTATCGCTTATAGGATGGGCCGGTGATGGATTTGGGGATGATTCACAGTAAAACACAGAAATGTTCTGTCATATGATAGGCTCACAGGGGCGTTTGTGGGACCCGTTTCAATCGCATGTCACGGGCTGTCCAGTATAAAGCGCACGACGAAGGAGTAGAGTTCAAGAAAGTAATTTTAATAAATCCACAGGGAGAACAGAACAACCACATGGGCGCAAAACAATAGCAGACCCTGAACTGAGGAAGACACAGGGTTTAAATACATGGGGAAGGTAATCAGGAAAAACTGAAACTGGTGTGGAGCAATTGGTAACTAAGGAAACAAACTAGTGGAGGGAAAACTACGACAAAGGAAACAGATCTAAATATACACGTCACAGCGCAAGAATTTGGATTAATAGTGTCTTTGACATGATACTGTTATTTAGAGAACTCATGTCACCACTAATCTTGGAGTAAGTGTGGAATGAATGACCCTGGGCCCAGGATGTGGTTTCAAAGACTATATTAATGTGGGCATCGCGGACAGTCTGTTGAGTGTTTGAGATGATTACAACAAAGGCTGATATTTCATGGCACTGTTTTGCTCTAAGAATATCCCTACATGGCTATGAAGACTTAAATAACACATTTTTAAATAACAAATGTTTTAATCGATGATACAATCTACAGGAATCAAACAGTGCTTGGGGCACAAATATATATGGAATGGGCAAAATTAACACAAGGGTGTGGTGCCTTCTTTTATGTGGTAAATAAACACACAATGCCCCTGAACAATTACACTAAAATAATTACAACGGTCGCAATTAACGCAAAATTAATAATAATAAAAAGTCTGTGGAATTATATAATTGTGGAATTAAGATTAGATCTGCTCATGCTGTATGAAAGATTTATTTTTTCGCATTTTAAGCATTGCAGCGTTGAGCATTTTAGCCAATCACACATACATCTGTGAGTGTATTCAGGTGGTTGATGCGACATATTTTCTGACATGCGCTTTGTCTGCTGGTGGGAGTGTGCTCACCTGTGTGTGCGCGCATGTGTCTGTGTGTGTGTTCATCGGGGCGGAACCACCCGTGCGTGATACAGAGAGCAGAGGAGAACTGCAAACGCGTGACCATGTAGAGACAGAAATGACATGCCATCATGTAAATAAGATAAATAACATAAGGCTATTTAGTTTGTTTAATAAAAGAACAAGGTATAGACCTGTTCTATAGGAAAGGTAACCTTAAATGACTTATGTTGTGATCTGGCGCTATATAGAAAATAAAATAAAATTAACTTTACCTTCAAGGGGCGCCCGCCTAATATAATGGCAGGGGAAACACTGATGTTGACATGTTAATGCATATAATGTTATTACTTATTTCTTTGCATATTCTGGTGTTTTGAGGCACAAAGTATGCTTAAAATTTCATGAATTTCAACACATCAGAGCTGTCTGCCATTATGGCCTGGGTATACTTCATTTTCCATCCTGCTCCGTCTACCACACAGTTGAGCACACAAGCCCTTCAGAGTATACTCTGTTGACTGAGTATAGATGGACTTGTTTGGCGCATGTGCTTTAACTAGTGGACCTTTGTTTTTGAGTGCTCAAAATGGTGACGATGGCACGTCAGAATTTTTCCACTTTATATCTTTAATTTCTATTTGTTTTTAATTATCATTTTCTGCAGTTCCGAGAATTGATTCTTTTTTAACCCCAACCCTAACTGAGTTCTCTTTAAAAAGTACTGGAACATAATGGTTTTTGGTTTAACAGTACTTAAATGTTGCATTCTACAAGGCAAAAGAAATTGCTTTACCCAAGTTTTGAGTCTGCAGTCTGAATTGAATGTAATGAGAGAAAAAGGCAAAAGAGAGAGTTTTGTTGTTATAATAACTTAAAACAATTAAAAACAACAAATCTTTATTTTTTGCATGTTGATTTTTAGTATTTTCATATAGTTTATAGGTAGGACCATTACTATACAGAAAAGTAAAGGGTCAGACCAAAACCTTTTTTTTGTTCACAGTTTACAGCATATGTGTTGCACATTATAGAAGATGACTAATTTTGTCATTATTTGTTATTATTGTTGTAGCGAATCAGCTCAAAGGGGAAATATGAATAATTAATTATAACTAGTTATAATTAATTATAAATATTTAGATCCGCTGTAAGTATTTACTTGACCTCTCGGGGTCAACTGTCTGTCAATTCTAAGAACGTTAATTTCCTGGTTAAGGAAAATAACTTTCTTACTGTACAATACTACTCAGAGCATGTAGCAAAAATCTGCATGATTAGGGACTCCAATTATGAGCAAACAATGAACAACCTCAAGTGTGATACAAGTAAGACTTTATTAACTACATAAACACTTAAACTAGTCTAACATACACATACACACACACACACGCATACAGTTGGCATAGGAAAAAGGGTTAAAGCTAAAGCAGTAAAGAGAAGAGAAATAAAAACATGAAGCTATGGTACCATTTGATATTCAGCAGATCTACAGCCTGAAGGAAACATCAGTTCCTTAGTTCAAACACACCTTTGTAAAAGGTGCAAATGATACTTAATGTATCAATTAATAAGACTAAGTTTGATACTTGCACGTCTCGCCTGCTTGAAAGAGAGTCCTGATGCTCTTTGGGGCTCCAGTAATGTGTGAGAGCATGGTAATTTGCATATGGAACTCGAATCAAAATTTCTAAAGATTCTTAGAACACTAATATATTGCCTATGTACCCACATATAATATAAACTCTCATTTAGATAATCAGAAGACGAATTCAAAGAGACCAAACATGGTATCGGTGGGGCTATATTAACTAGTGATCTATCATAACACGCACACAAAACAGTATACAATTCAAAAGACAGTATAGAAGAACAGTAATGGTATATACAATGTCCTGAGGAGATGAGTGTTCATTCACAGAAAGGTTTTCCTATGAATTAGTTAGAGAAGAGTCCATTTTTATGGGCATTGTGTGTCTTTCCTAAGGGTAAATGAATTGTGAGTTGTGCTCTGCCCGCATTCCTTTGGGCAATAAAACCAGTGATATCAGCATTGGTTGCCATGGAACCAGAGGCCTGTTCTGCCTTTCTGAGGTGTTAGATGCATTTCGGGGGAAGGGTCCATAGGTCCTCATAGTTGGTTTGTTGACTCTGAGGGGTGTTACAGAGTATTTGTTATATATAATTTAAAAAATTGTGTCTGATTGGTCCAGACGCTACATTGTGCAGCCCTAATTTAATTACAGATATTAAATGACCTGTGTTTTTTTTATTCTATGTTAACAAAATAGTGTTAATATATTTGAGTATTTTGTTGTGAGCAGTTGTGAATTGCAGTGTGCATTTGTGAGAATCTTTGGTATGTTAACTCCATTAAAGCGAAATAAAGGTCACTGTCATTGCTTCTTTTAGGTATCTCCATGAGTCTAGTGGAGTCTAAAGACGGCATTCAGCGCTTCACCTTTGAACATAATCGTGACTATCAGCAAGTCCAGTTCAAGTTTCTTGATGCGGTTGAGTCAATGGACCCCAATAACTTTGTGGTAATTTTATTGTTGTTAACCACAAACTATTTTATTTTATATATTTATATATATTTATTTTATTTTATTTTAATATTTAAAAAATATTATTTATTTATTTATTTTTTGTATGCAGACATGAGTAACTGATGTGTTAACTATGTATGATGACACTCTGTTTCTCTTTTTTTTCAGGTTCTCCTGCAACTTAACCCATATCACATTGATTCACTTTTGCAGCTGTCAGATGTATGTCGCATACAAGAAGATCAAGAGACTGCCAGAGATCTCATCGGTGAGGAAGTTCACTGATGCGCTGAATATGAGACCAGTGATGTGTGTGAGACAGTATTTTACTGAAAAGCCTGCAGGGCTCTACGCTTACATTGTTTAGTAGCAGTTGTACTCCTAATTTAAAATTATATTTAAGAGCACAGGCAAAAAATTAGTAGCACAGTTTAAGTCTAGTGTTTTTTTTTTTTTATAGTAATGTTATGTACCACAAAATATCATTCAGAAGTAAACATAAGAAAACAAATCTTATCAATTATGATAGAATTCAAGAACATGGTGTGAGTCATAACAAAGGAGTTTACCTTCTGATAAACCAAATGTAATATTTTAAGTTAATTTAAAAGGTTGAAAAAAAAACCCCCACTGTTTTACCTTGTAAACAAATGTTTAAAAACTCTGAAGTGTATTCCATGTTCACACACAGCTTTTTTTTTGTGCTTGCTTGGTTGACTGAAGGCATGAAAAGCAGCCATTCACAGTGTGAAATGTAACTGATTTGAGCCGTTTTAGGTAGGTGTGGCTGACTCTTAACTTTTATAAAGAATATCTCTTTGGATTTCAGACTTTAGTCTTTGCAAATTTACAGATCTTCTTTATGCACCAAGAGCTTGTAACACTCCAAAGAGAAAGGAAAAAATGAAGTTGCATCATATGACCCCTTTAATTTAAAAACAGGTATTTAACATTACTGCAACTTAGGGCTGAACAGTTTGGCGAAACAAATCTAATTACAATTTTTCTGATAAAATTGGTGTTTCCAAATCAATTCATGAATTAATAAAAAACTTGAGTTGTCTAAGGCCACATTCACACTGTAATATTTATATAAACCTTTCAATATGACTATACAATCAGAATCAGAATCAGAATGAGCTTTATTGCCAGGTATGTTTACACATACGAGGAATTTGTTTTCGTGACAGAAGCTTCCACAGTGTAACACAGTGACAGAACAAAAAAAACACAGATAATAAAAAATAAAAATAAATAAAAAATAGAGATAGTAAATAAGGAATAAAAATATACAAATCGACAATTGTATGTACAGGTATAGAACAATAGACAGTTGTATGTACAGGTATATTATGTGCAAATTGAAATGTAGACTGAGTATGTGTGTTAGATAAATAAGTGTATGAGTGAATAAATAGTGTG